CCTCTTCCCCCCCACCCCCCCAGCACTTTGCTCTTCCACGGTTTGGGGAAGAGGGGAGGAACGGGCAGGGAGGAGCCAGCACAGAGCCAAGCGGAGATAATAAAGGGCAGGGCTGAGCTGGTCAGGAGGCTGGAGGGCTCCGGGTGCCCCTCCCTCTTGGCTGCCTTGTGCACCTCACATTCAGGTGGACCCTGGGCCCCGCTCGGCTGGCAGCATGCGGGCGGCAGGCGGCGTCCCTCATCGGGATAGGCTGGAGGAGCCTTAAGCATGTGCCTGCAGGAGGCTGGCAAATCAGAAGGCCTTCCCTGCACATCAGAGCCCGGCTGCCTAGCAACCCCATCGGAGGGGTGCAGTGGACAGCACAGGACGCAGCCCTTCAGGAACGCGGGCGCCCGCTGCGGGGCTGGCGCTGGGGTTGTTCCAGTCCCAGCTTGGGACTCCAGCTCCACACACCCCCCGCCCCTCTCTGCCCAGCCCCAGCCATGTCCCCACTCCCAAGGCCTGGGTGATCCTACCGTCTCCCAAAGGACCGGGCATCTGAAGCCCTAACCATCCCCACACACCACCCCATGGGCCACACCGGCCTCTCTTCTCTCTAAGCACCGCTTCCAAATATCAGTCATTTTCCTAAAACCATCTCTTCCTCTCGGTTTGGTGTTTTGTTTTTTAATTTTTATTTTCTTTTTTTAATCTAACCTTGGCTTCCACCCCCTCGGAGCCTCAGCAGAGCACAGTCTAAGGAAAACAATGTAAGTGTTTGTGGGGTGGAGTAAAGAGATACACCTCCTTCAGTCTGCGGCTGGATACCCACCCGGGTGCCCACAGAGGAGAGGAAAAGGCAGTCTCTCTGGGTTTTTTTTGGAGGGGGAGGGAGAGCTCCAGGCCCCAACTCACCACCCCACCCCACCTCCCTTCGCCAGCACGTGTAGAAAACGGAATCCCCGCGAGCTGCTGCGGCCGCTGTGTGCAGAGAAAAGTTCTCCAAGTTGAGTTGGTGTCTGATCTGCCCCCTCCCTGTCACCCCGCAACATCCTCCGAGGCCCCTGGGAGCTCGGGGGAGGGGAGGGGGCCCCCCTGCTCCCAGACGCGCCCGTCCTGGAGAGGCCCCTCCTCCCCC